ATCATTACTCCAGTCTTCAGTATCACATGATCCTTCTGAAATTATTCTAATATGCTGATTTGCTGATCAAGAAATAGTTATTATTATTATAAGTAATAACTATTAATAAAAATAATAGTTGTGCTGCTTAATATTCTTTGTGGAATCTGTGATAGATTTTTTTCAGGATTCTTTGATGAATAAAAAGTTCAAAAGAACAACATTTATTTGAAATAGAAATCTTACATAAATATTTTTACTGACATTTTTGAAAAGTTTAATGTGTCCTTGTTAAATAAAATTATTTAAAAAAAAATTTTTTAATCTTACTGACCCCAAACTTTTGAACATATTTTTTTTCTTTTTTGAAACCACTGCTAATCCATCCAAAACAGCAACACACACACACACACACACGCACACACACACACACACACACACACACACACACACACACACAAACACACACATGCACATTAAAACTAAATCCAGAGACATTTCTAGCATAAACAACAGGTATGTAATCAATCACAGATGTAGGGTTTGAGAAGCCTTACAGCTTAAAGTAAACAAGAATTCTGCTAAACATGTTTGGTAAAGTAAAAGAGGTTTATGGTGTTGTAAAATGTAAACCGTCATTTAGCAATTCTATACAAAAAGCCAGCTGCGTGATTTATAGGACTGCTTTAGTTATACTTACATATAGGCAGGTACATAGAGAAGAGGGTCTTAGTTTTTGAACGTCAACTCCATCAGTCTACCTAAATAACCTTGTGTGTGTGTGTGTGTGTTTGTACCTGTAAGAAAGCTCTTGATCCTGCTCCTGACAGCGGTGCTCTCTCCTCCAAGGCGAATAAGAAGCCGCTGCTGTATGTGAGTACACTGCCACAGAGAGTCAACACATTCAGATTGGGACTGGACATCTTCACTATCCTGTGTCAGAGGTACATAATCAAAATTCATGTTGGCAGCCATAGTCATTGGACAAAAAGACCACCTGTAAAGCAATAAAATCATGTTTGAGATCCAGAGATCCTGTACCTGTTGTTTTTGAAGCGCAGTGTGAAAATGAGGAAGAAGAGCGCCAGCAGAATCCCACAAGAGAGCAGCGTCCAGACTCCAGCACGAAGAGCAGGAGACAGCGATCGACTCTGTACATCCACACCCCTCTAGACACAGACAAACAGCACAATATACTGAATGTATACACTACCATTTGGGTTTGGTATGATTATGTTCTTTAAAGTTTCTTATGCTTACCAAGGCTGCATTTATTCAAAAATACA